ACTTTGAGCTTATCATATATAATGGAAGAAACAGACTTCGATCCCCTTACCGAAGAAGGCCAAGTTGATATTAACGACGAAGAACCGCTACTTCCCGACCAACCAATCGACGATTCCGTAAGGAGTAGAATCAGAAATGCCTTCGCACGTTCCAGAGAACGCAATCACGCGGGACTGCGCGAGCACATAGAGCTTCGAAACATGGAAACCATAGAATGGGCAAAGCAAGAGCTAACGCGACGTTATCCCCGTTTCGAGGCTGATGAGGTAAAGCTTACAAAACGCAAAGACAAAGTCCTCATAAGCGTTCAAGACCTAAGATTTCCTGACAAAGACCGCTGGACAAAACCACAACTCCTCTTTGATGAGAATGGTGATGTTAGGGGTGACGTCGCAAGATTAAGAGGCTTCCAACAGGCTACTAGGAGCATGTTAGAAAGGTTGGAAACCCTGAATGAAAAGGTCGCGCTAGAAAGGCGCGTCGAGGAACTACAAGAAACGTTGGAAGAAAGGGAAGCAGAGTATGTGCGACAAACCCGACTACTTTCTAATGCTGAGAGACAATTTAGTCAACAAGACGCAAGGATGGAAGAAATGGCGAAGCAGTTAGACGATACGAAAAGGGAGTTAGAGAACGCTAGGAAATCGCATACTCCAACGGCGGTGTTAGAAAAAACACTAAGGGAGAGGGAGTCAAACTATCAAAGGCAATTGTCGCAGTTGAGTCAAAGTAAAGATGAGGACATATTGACAAACAGGCGAGAAGCTGAAAAGGCCTTAAATGAAAGGGATACAGCTCGACGGGCTTTTAACCTTGCCTTAGAAGACCTAAACATGAGTAAGGAGGAAGTTAAGAACTTAGAAGCCACCATAGAGGGTTCTTTGGTGGAGAGGCGGCAGTTAATTGCTGAAATCAAGATTAAAGAAGAGCAAATCCAACAAAGAACCACAGCCATCGAAGATTTGGAAAGAAACATATCCGAAAAGCAGGAAATAATTAATGACCAAAGTCGCCCTGAAGAGGAAAGGGAAGCAGCCCAAGCAGAAAAGGAAAGACTTCAGGAAGAAGTCGCGAAGTTGCAGGCGCAAAAAGATAAAATGGAAAGGGAATTGGGGCTTACCACCAAGGAAAAGGTAAAAAGAGCCCTGATGAAGTATGGTGTGCCGCTGGCATTTGCGATTGCTATTAGCACTGCAGTGGGTGTGATTATGTCTGCACTTAAAGCTGCGGGCTCGGGTGTAAATAAGTTAGGTAAGGGGCTGACAAACATGGGAAAAAAGATGGCAGCCAGTCTTCCTGGGCTGCTTGGTTCTGTTGTTGGCTTGGCGCTTAGAGCCGGTGGAGAACTATTGAAGTTCGTGGGGAATAACATTTGGATCTTGGTCGTCGCTATTGGGGTGGTCCTCCTCAAAAAGGTGAAGGGCTAGCCTTGTCCTTGTGCGTTGCTGGGGGCTTATCGTCGTC